TATAAATTTCCAAATAGAGTGATCTGAAATTATTCTGCTGTTAAGAATGTAGCAACTAAGTCAATTAAAAATTGGATGAATACTTCACTGGATAGCAAGATATAAATAATGTACATCTCTTGGGTAATTAGCAAACTGTGTCTCCTTTGAAGCAGTAACTTATTTAACTTTCCTCATATCGTGGGCCTAGCTGAGCCACAGGATGTATTTGAATGCAGCATAAGAATCAAGGAATTCATGGAAGCATGTATGGCTCTTCCAGGTCTGAAGAGATGATCTGATTCGTTGACTGGACTTAATAATGACAGTAACTATTACTTCTCCATAATATAAAACCTAAAGTTGTTCTCTATATGCACTGTAATGATCATTTGGCTTCATATAGACTAGACAGATGACAGATGAATGAATAAATAGAAGGATACTTCTGTATACCTATGAAATAGAATTAAGAGTGAGGGTAATTCAGTATTGAAGATCAAAAACGGAGCTTGAGGAGTAATCCTGGACATTTCTAAGACATAACTAAGACATAACTTTTATCAGAGGACTTACTCCATCAACTTCCATACTTTAATTTAATAGTATAATTTGGGAATCAAATTGGTGTGTTTAAAACTTTTCCTGGAAGATGCTACAACATTCTTTTAATTATGTATAAAGCAGAAGTTTTTCTTCAGAGACTTGATATATTTTAAAACTATTGTTATATAAATATAAAATTAGTTGGCCAATCCACCTGAGTGGTGAAAATGGTACAACCAAAAGTAAAATTATATGGGGGCGGGGCGGGGGGGACGCATACAGTTACTTAATGGTAGAATTTACTGTGCTTCTCTACATGCTATACATTGAATAATGGTTATTTTAGTAGTAAGTTTTTTTTTTTAATTTTTTATTGTTGGTTGTTCAAAACATTACATAGTTCTTGACATATCATATTTCACACTTTGATTCAAGTGGGTTATGAACTCCCATTTTTACCCCGTATACAGATTGCAGAATCATATCAGTTACACATCCATTGATTTACATGTTGCCATACTAGTGTCTGTTGTATTCTGCTGCCTTTCCTATCCTCTACTATCCCCCCTCCCCTCCCCTCCCCTCCCCTCTTCTCTCTCTACCCCCTCTACTGTCATTCATTTCTCCCCCTTGTATTATTTTTCCCTTTCCCCTCACGTCCTCTTGTATGTAATTTTGTATAACCCTGAGGGTCTCCTTCCATTTCCACGCAATTTCCCTTAGTAGTAAGTTTTTTTGTATGGATGTAAAGACTCATTTGAAAATAAATAATGTTATTCAATATTATTTTGAGAGGAATTAAATTCAAATCCTCTTTTTATGCTTGAGTGGCTTAAGCTATATTCAGGAATCAAATTTTTAACTGAATGTTGTGATACAGAATTTATAGGTAATAAACTACCTGTAGTACTGTCTTGTTCTCTTCTCTTCTCTCTCTCTCTCTCTATAGATATATATATATACATATATATATATATATATACATATATATATATATATATATATATATATATATGCATATATATATGTATATATATATCCATCCTTTATTCTTTCAGAGTCCTTTTAACTAATTATTAGTAATCTTTCTATAATATTGTTTTCCAGGTTTATGCCATCAGTCTATCTTTATAGATTAAAACATTCATAACTGAATTCTTTAGGAATGAAATGATTTTGTCTTATACCAAAGTTCATGTAATAGCTAGGAAAGATAAAGGAATCCCTGCTATGCTTTAGTTCTGAATTTTATTATGCCATAATTGAGTATTTGACAATGCTTCAATGTAAGAAGAAATCATGAACATTTCCTTAAATTATTATGCAAATTAAAATACAGGTAATGGGCATGAGCAGGAAGAAATGTTTATTCAAAATATATTTGGAAAATGTTATCCTCAAACTTAACAATAATTAATATTTCCAGGACCACATACACATATGTGCACATGTGCTCATAGAGTGAACTAGAGATAGAATTTATGTTTTTTACATTTTTTTGATCTTGTAGGAAAAGGGCTAACCACTTTCAATTCTTTACCCTTATTAAAGTTATTTGGGAGGACTGATCTTCCCCCCCCCCTGCAAAATAATCCTAAAGAATTTCTCATCCACACATTCATTTTGGTTATGAATTTACTTATTCAACTGATAGGTACTAATGTCATAGTCTGACTTTCAGAAATACAGTTATTGCATCACTTATTTTATAAAATGAAGTATATTTTAAATTGAAAACCATTAGTTTTTATTTAAACATTGAATCATTATGTAGTTTCTACTGTATTTACAATATCAGATAGAAGTAATTTTAAATTAGTTCTATAAACTTGTTGAGATTTGAAATTATATTCCTGAGTATTATTAATCAATTTACATGTAATATGACCCTATATATTTTCTATATGATATGAATAGTCCATAAAATGTAATATTGTATGAACCACATTCTACTTTTCTGATTTATTAAAATTGCAGTATTATGATAGAGAACAAATGTATGTTTTACAAGTTGTAATACATTACCAAAAATTCATTTTGCACAAAAAATGAATATGGCTAAAGTGGTACTAAAGTAATATCTTTGACTCCTCCTCCACAACCTCCCAAATAACTCAGCTCTTAACTGCCACAATTTTTTGTATTCATTTCCTTTCTCAATCTCTATCGCCCTTGTCAGTTCAGATCTGTTTAATCTTTCCCCAATCTTTATTCTTTGTATTCTTCAATCTATGTTCCTCCTCATTATCATCTTAGCTTTAAACTAGAGCTTTGAACAACCCAGAAATGATCTGAATCTGAACTTCTCAAAAACTTTAGTTATTTACACTGTTAGCTAATTGAGCAACAATCCTCAGCTTGGTGTTTAAAGGTATTCCAAATTATGGTCTCAAATTATCTCTACCACAATGATTCTTTCTTAATCATGGGCCAAAATTGATTTTAAAAAAATGTTCAAATGGATGCATGCAAAGAATTGTATATAATTTAACAGAATTTCTAAAACTTCTCCCACAGGGCTTGGAAAATGTCTTTTCTCTACAGCCATACTTACTTTCTGCTACACATATTTTAAATTCTGTCCCGGAGAAACCATAAGCAACTTGAGGACTGACATGGTGTTTCATGCAGTTAATTTTCACATATTCTCATAGTACTTCCCAAATGTCTCCATCAGACAACTTGACTTTGGAATTTTTCCATTGTGTTCTTCTGGAAATGCTTTTATTTCCTTTATCTAACCTGTTGACCTGTTACCTGGATAACTTGGGAAGCCTTTGAGGAAGATAAACATCATGTTTCAGGTTTTCATCACTACTATTCTTCCTAAGATAAATTATTTTTTCTGGTGGGAAATAATTTTTACTAAAAACCTTGGTCTATGTTCACATTGATGAATGCAGGCTTCATTTGCATTTAAATGTGATGGTGCTGGGAAAACTGGAAATCCATATGCAACAAAATGAAACTGAATCCCCTCCTCTCGCCATGCACAAAAGTTAACTCAAATTGGATCAAGGAGCTAGATATCAAATCAGAGACTCTGCGTCTGATAGAAGAAAAAGTTGGCTCCGATCTACATATTGTAGGGTCGGGCTCCAAATTCCTTAATAGGACACCCATAGCACAAAAGTTGATAACAAAAATCAACAAATGGGACTTACTTAAACTGAAAAGTTTTCTCTCAGAAAGAGAAACAATAAAAGAGGTAAATAGGGAGCCTACATCATGGGAACAAATTTTTACTCCTCACACTTCAGATAGAGCCCTAATATCCAGAGTATACAAAGAACTCAAAACATTAAACAATAAGAAAACAAATAACCCAATCAACAAATGGGCCAAAGACCTGAACAGACACTTCTCAGAGGAGGACATACAATCAATCAACAAGTACATGAAAAAATGCTCACCATCTCTAGCAGTCAGAGAAATGCAAATCAAAACCACCCTAAGATACCATCTCACTCCAGTAAGATTGGCAGCCATTATGAAGTCAAACAACAACAAGTGCTGGAGAGGATGTGGGGAAAAGGGTACTCTTGTACATTGCTGGTGGGACTGCAAACTGGTGCGGCCAATTTGGAAAGCAGTATGGAGATTCCTGGGAAAGCTGGGAATGGAACCACCATTTGACCCAGCTATTGCCCTCTTGGACTTTTCCCTGAAGACCTTAAAAGAGCGTACTACAGGGATACTGCTACATCAATGTTCATAGCAGCACAATTCACAATTGCTAGACTGTGGAACCAACCCAGATGCCCTTCAATAGATGAATGGATAAAAAAATGTGGCATTTATACACCATGGAGTATTACGCAGCACTAAAAAATGACAAAATCATAGAATTTGCCGGGAAATGGATGGCACTAGAGCAGATTATGCTTAGTGAAGCTAGCCAATCCCTAAAAAACAAATACCAAATGTCTTCTTTGATATAATGAGAGCAACTAAGAACAGAGCAGGGAGGAAGAGCAGGAAGAAAAGATTAACATTAAACAGATACATGAGGTGGGATGGAAAGGGAGAGAAAAGGGAAATTGCATGGTAATGGAGGGAGACCCTCATTGTTATACAAAATTACATATAAGAGGTTGTGAGGGGAATGGGAAAATAAACAAGGAGAGATATGAATTACAGTGGATGGGGTAGAGAGAGAAGATGGGAGGGGAGGGAGGGGGGATGGTAGAGGATAGGAAAGGTAGCAGAATACAACAGTTACTAATAGGGCATTATGCAAAAATGTGGATGTGTAACCGATGTGATTCTGCAATCTGTATTTGGGGTAAAATTGGGAGTTCATAACCAACTTGAATCTAATGTATGAAATATGATATGTCAAGAGCTTTATAATGTTTTGAACAACCAATAAAAAAAATTAAAAAATAAATAAATAAATAAATAAATGTGATGTCTGTTGAGTTTATGTCAACTAAACAAGTGTTCTAAGGTGTATTTCAATTTCTATTTTCCAGGTTTCTTGAGTACAGGGGATCAGGCCGCAAAAGGAAACTATGGACTTCTTGATCTCATACAGGCTTTAAGATGGACTAGTGAGAATATTGGATTCTTTGGTGGTGACCCCTTGAGAATCACTGTTTTTGGATCAGGCGCTGGGGGTTCATGTGTCAATCTGCTGACTTTATCCCATTATTCTGAAGGTAACCGTTGGAGCAATTCAACCAAAGGTATTATGCAGGTTGCAAATTTTGACAATTTTGGTGTCTGCATGCCACCACCATCAGTAATATGTGATACTTTGTATATACTTCTCTGTTCAAACTGAGTGTGAGGTTGAATTCAATAACTGTTTAAAACTATGTTTCTTCAGCTTTCTATGCATGTTTAAATTTTTGTCAAACTCTTCTTTGTCTCTTGTGGAGCTTGGTAAGGATGCCCTTTCAAGCACACTTCAGATTAGCTGGTATTGTAGTTATTTTCTTTTCTTCAAAGGATGATTTGGGGGAAAATCAGGCAAAGACATTAGCAGTTTTGTCCTCTTTGTTTATTCAGTAATCAAAATCAAATAAGATTTTTTTTTTTTTATTTAGCACAGGGATTGTATATAATCTATTTTCAAGACAATAGACATTTTAAGCCCTTTAGTAGTTTGAAACTAATGGAGCAGTCATAAACTAGTTTGTCTGGAATCATAAGATTTCACTTGTTGTCTGAGAAGAGAATGGATATTTGATTATTTTGCATGCATGATCCAAAATTGTCAAAGCATCAAGGTCACTAGTTGAGTTTTTGGTTAAAAAATAAAATACATTTGATTTTGTGACTTTTTCTATTTTCAACTCCAAAAGTGTTTTTCCCCTAAAGCTTGGCAAAGGAGCTTGGAGCACTAAAGCTGCTTAAAACTATGGAATATTTTTGTTTACATTTTAGCTTTGACATCCTTTTTCCAAAGTGCCTGTTCAAGGCTCTTCATGTTGTTCTTTATGAGCTCCATTTTACCATGTGATAAGGAACCCATTCTACCCACATAATTAATTTAAAACTTGAAAGACCAATAAAGAACAGAAAAGATTTGTTGAAGAAGTCTGGAAAGTAAATATTTTTCTCCATTATTTATGTATAATAGGAAAATAGAGAATATGCATCAACACAGCCCATTTTTTATTTTATGTTTCTTAATTCTCATTTTATATATATGGAAAACCTAAGTATATATTATCAAGCAAAATTTATGAAGCATCTTATTTTGTGAAACTTTTATGGTTGAGCATCATGCATAGAATATTTGTTTTAGTTATCAAAGATACATTAAGGTGGAATTCTAAAAGAAAAACCAATCATTGAGTGTATAGAGAGAATTTTGCTTTATTTAATTTATTAACATATTTTATATTGCATCTCATTTATATTAGTAAGATTCTGATTTGAGATGACAAAATTATATAGCTGAGAATACTTTCAAATGCATAGAGATTTTGCTTTGAAATGAAATGGCTTATTTTAAAATAACAGATTTTGGATTTTTAATTAAAAAGATTAGATTGTTCTAGCGATAGCACCTTATTTGTGCCAATATTTGGGCAAGTTAGCATACATTACTGATATCACTGGAATAGACTTCTTGGGCTCATTTTAACAAAAATGGGTACCAAAGCTAGTTTTAGCTTATCAAACTAGCATTGGATAAAAAAAAAAGTTAGTTTATCAATCAACATCGCTATTCAACAATTGGCAGTGAGGAGAACACTGGCAAATGGTTCTGCAAATAGTAGAAAATATAACCTTTCATCATACCATTCAAGGGAAGCTCTGGCCAGAGACAGAGATAGGTTTGTTTTTAAACCCATCTCCAGGATGTGCTGTCAGACTTGACCAAGACAGGCTCAAATCTCTTGAAATAATCCAAAAGATTCTGCCTCCAATGTAATCACTGGCTTCAAAGTCTGTAAACTCCATAAAGGGCTGCAGCAGTGTGCAGGCTGTGACCCCAGGAGTGAGCTACATCTCCAGTACATTCAACAAGCACTGTTAATAGTGATAAAATAAATGGTCTTTCCCAAGACCTTCTAACTGGGGTATTTCAGGCAATATTTAACATGATGTACATTTTTCACTACATCTTTTTGGGGCATAGTTAGTTAACATCACTGAGTCCTGGAAATTCAAAGTATATCATCAAAGTCACTAGGTTTATATTAATTGTAAAAATTTTTAATTCATAAAGTATTTCTTCAAGCAAATTTTGACAGCAGCTTATACGTCTTTAAAATTTTTGGTATTTGTATTGTTTATTCTAGTACACCTTGTTTTATCAAAGTAAAAATATGTTTCCAAAGAGTCAGAAAGTAAAATTGTTTAACTTTTTTAAAAATGTTTAGAACTATCTAGGAACACATTATAGACATTTTTAATATATATGGATGTTTGGAAAAAACTTTACTTCTAATTTAGCAGTTGTAAAAGAAGTTACTGTAAAAGGAGTTATTTTCTCATTAACATGTATGAATAATTAAGCATATTGTTAAATAACTGAACTACAAAGCTGCATCTGGAATTGATAATAAATGTAAAAATTTAAAAGAAAATAGACAAATTATAGTTTAAAACAAGAATGTCATTATAAAGTACCCTATTAAGTAGATTAGGGTAAATGTATTTGTAAATTTGAATGACATGCAGCTCTTATCAAGCTACCTATGGGGCCATAATTTACAATTCTTAAACACAATTAAGTAAAAAGCAGTGGACCATGTATGTTTCACGTTTTCTGATAGATTAATGCAAGGTACATTCAACAATGGAAGATGTTAAATCACCCACCCCAACTGGATTTTTATGCTCATGATTTTTTCTTTAACTTAGTGAAGACACTTCAAATGTTATGTCTTCTCTGAAAGAAAATATTCAGCTTACAATGTCTGACATGAAGATCTGGAATGAGTATGTCAAAAGTGATACTTTGTTTTGTGTGACTTTAAGGCCATCCCCAGGGTATTAACAAATTCCCAACGCCAGTAGTTTTATGAGACTACACGTCTTTTTCAAAATAAAGCTAGTGTAATCAACACACAGAGTTATTTTGAGAGAAGACAGATAAAATCAATTTGGAGAAAATATCCCAAATAAACAATACAGTCTGATGGTGAGTCAAAAGAGAGAGGATTGGCCCCCTCTGGTTGGTGTTGACTGTGTTTACATGCTCCTAGAAGATAATATTTGGGGCTTTTTTCCTGTAGTATTTACAACTTATCCTCTTCTCTTTGCTTACTGCCTCTTTGAGACTGCAAAACTTTAGAACTATAATCCCTATAACAGGTGTCACTTAAAGCCCAAGACTGACTTACATCTCTGATTCATTATACCCTGGGGATGACTTTATGTACCTTCTCTATTAGGCCAAATGTCTCTCTCTGTTTCTTGATATGTATCTGGGTTTTTATATACATGTCTCAGAGATCAGATGTTATTATTATTTTTTTTTGCCACAATGTTCTTCAAAGGTTACCTGAAACTCTTTGTTGATTTTCCCGTAGGACTTTTTCAACGAGCAATAGCTCAAAGTGGAACAGCCCTTTCCAGCTGGGCTGTTAGTTTCCAACCTGCAAAATATGCTAGAATGTTGGCCACAAAAGTTGGTTGCAATGTTTCAGATACAGTAGAGTTAGTGGAATGCCTCCAGAAGAAGCCTTACAAAGAACTTGTTGATCAAGATATTCAGCCTGCCAGATACCACATAGCCTTTGGACCTGTGATCGATGGTGATGTCATACCAGATGACCCCCAGATATTGATGGAGCAAGGAGAGTTTCTCAACTATGACATAATGTTAGGAGTTAACCAAGGGGAAGGGTTAAAATTTGTTGAAAATATAGTAGATAGTGATGATGGTATATCAGCTAGTGACTTTGACTTTGCAGTTTCCAATTTTGTTGATAATTTATACGGCTATCCTGAAGGCAAAGATGTTTTGAGAGAAACCATTAAATTCATGTACACTGACTGGGCTGATCGGCATAACCCTGAAACCAGAAGGAAGACACTTTTGGCATTATTTACTGACCATCAGTGGGTGGCACCAGCTGTAGCCACAGCAGATCTTCACTCAAACTTTGGTTCACCTACATACTTCTACGCCTTTTACCATCATTGCCAAACAGATCAGGTTCCAGCTTGGGCTGATGCAGCCCATGGAGATGAGGTTCCCTATGTATTGGGAATCCCCATGATTGGTCCCACAGAGTTATTTCCTTGTAATTTCTCCAAAAATGATGTGATGCTGAGTGCTGTCGTAATGACATACTGGACAAACTTTGCTAAAACTGGGTATGTACTTAAGGAGTGACGTTTACTAGAATTTTAGTAGAAAATATCCCTTTAAATATTTTTAAAAACAATACATATTTTGTGCCCAAATAATTTAACAAGTTGATAGCAGCAATATAGCAATTTCTTTTTGTTAAAAAATTAATTCTATATTATAATGTTTCAAAAAGTCATTACTATTTTAGTCTTGTTTTTTAAAAGTTTATTGAGAAAGGCTTATGTCTCTATTACATTGCTGAAAAATCGTTTATGTTTTTGTTTTTTTGTATTACACAGAACTTATTTTTGTTGCTATTTAGTAGTACAAAATATTATTTCATAGTTTTTCCAGTTCATAATACTGTGTGCTATTTAATCTTTCTAACAACCGTCTGAGACAAAGTCAGATACTATTAATCCTATTTTACACAGAAGGGTCCTGAGGTTCTGAGAGTCTCTTATAGATATTCGTAGTATTTCTGATATGTAGCAGCACCATGACTCAAATATTTATCTTCCAGTCCCAAACCTCAAGTCCTTCCTTTCTATTTTTCCATGCCATTTCTATATAGATTTCCTATAAGATAACTCATATGTATATAAATATTTAAATAATTTTTAAAAAATCTTGGAATAGCTGAATGTGGAGGAACATACCTGCAATCCCAGCTGGCTCTGAAGACCAAGGCAGGAGGATTGCAAATTTAAAGCCAGCCTCAACAACTTAGCAAGACCCTGTCACAAAATTTAAAAAAAAAAAAGAGGCTGAGATATGGCTCAGTGGTTGAGTGCCCCTGGGTTCAATCCCTGGTACCAAAAATAGATAGATAGATAAATCTTGGAATAGATAGCAGCCTGTTTCTAGTGGACACAGAGGGCAAGAATGTGAGACCTATTATTTTGTATTTTCAACCATCTAGTAATCTGCCTCTTATATGAGATTTAAATTTCTAAATTGACCCAAGTTAATGTTAAAACATAATCTAAAGCCTTGTTGTGTTACCTCTTCACTTGACATTAAACTAGTGATATTTTGACTATGGACAAAACAATCTTGTTCTCATAAATTCTTTTTTCTTTCTTAGTGACCCCAATCAACCAGTCCCTCAAGACACAAAATTCATCCATACCAAACCCAACCGCTTTGAAGAAGTAGCATGGACCAGATATTCCCAGAAAGACCAACTTTATCTCCATATTGGATTAAAACCACGAGTTAAAGAGCATTACAGGGCCAATAAGGTGAACCTCTGGTTGGAGCTGGTACCTCATCTGCATAATCTCAATGACATTTCTCAGTATACCTCGACAACAACTAAAGTGCCATCAACTGACATCACTCTCAGACCCACGAGAAAAAATTCTGTACCTGTCACATCAGCCTTTCCCACTGCCAAGCAGGATGATCCCAAACAACAGCCAAGTCCATTTTCAGTGGATCAAAGGGACTACTCAACAGAGCTGAGCGTCACTATTGCAGTCGGAGCATCACTGTTGTTTCTGAACATCTTGGCCTTTGCAGCCCTGTACTACAAAAAGGATAAGAGGAGACACGATGTCCACAGGAGGTGTAGCCCTCAGCGTACTACCACCAACGATCTGACCCATGCACAAGAAGAGGAAATCATGTCCCTCCAAATGAAGCACACTGATTTGGATCATGAATGTGAGTCCATCCATCCACATGAGGTGGTTCTTCGGACCGCCTGCCCCCCAGATTACACACTAGCTATGAGAAGGTCACCTGATGATGTTCCCTTAATGACACCCAACACCATTACAATGATTCCCAACACTATACCAGGGATTCAACCCTTACACACATTCAATACATTTACTGGAGGACAGAACAATACTCTGCCCCATCCCCATCCCCACCCCCATTCACATTCAACAACCAGGGTATAGCCAGATAAGAGAAACAAACTATTTTTTTTTGATGGATTGCAGTAAAACAAAATTACTGAAGATTCCTTGGCTTTCAACCTACAAGACTCTCACTATTTAAATAAGGAGGAATATTATGTGAATATACATATCAAGAACTTTGGGGGTTTTGAAAAAAATGAATTGTTTATGTATATATATATATACACAAATCAACTCTAAAAACAAATTTCAATTGCTTGAAGCAATTGTTCTGAATGATACTTTTTCATTCACATTCAAGAATTAATTTTTTGAAGATTTAAGTTGCATAATGGAATTAGGCATGTGGAACACCAAACAGAAAAGAACTATGTCCGAAATATAAAAAAAATTTAAAAACAACTATGAATATGCACAAGGGACACACCAATGGAATGTCAGATAATTTTCACCAGTTTTTATTTGGAGCTGTTTTATTGTGTAGACCATATTTACATATTTGGATAAGTACACAAAGCACCAATGCTGTTAATGGCCTTAGCGGAGGCTCATGCTGAAATTTGCCAGTAAAACAAAGGAGTTTAAAGACTGGCAGGTACAACATTATCACATAAGTGCTGTCAGTATAAAGTTGTGGGGATAAAGGAAACTGGATATTTTTAGCACGATGTGCATGATAATTTATATGCTTGGTGGCTGTGCTGCTGATTAAGCCGTAATTAAAATTCTTCTCATCCCATTGGAGTTTTTAATAGAAGCTTCCTCCATCAATTGGCAGAACCTAAAGAAGATTTTAAGGGGCAAAAGTAATTACAGTAAAATAATTCACAGTAGCTTCAATAATAGAAGGAATTAGCTAATAAAGGTATTCGAAGAAATATAGGTATAGTGGTGAATACTCGCTGATATGAATCCCAGAAAAAAAAAATTTCCTGTGTTTTTAATGTTCTTTTCATTCCCATCTAAATAATTTATAGAAATATAACCCTAATTGGACATGTGTTACTGGCTCTATAATTTGCTGTGTTTTTTTTTGTTATTCTGTATTTTGTTCCTTTTGGTAAGGTGAAGTGTGTCCAAAGAGTTGTTTGAAACAGTCTTTTATGATATGAAGATGCCCCAATATTACCACTCTGATGACAGTTCTCAGTTAATTGATTTACTCATGTTGCATGGCAAAATGTTTACCAATAATAATTCAATATAAAGTTATGTCCCTCTTCACATCACTTATCTTTCTCACTGAGGTTCATTCACTGGAATTTACTCACGCAATCTCAGTAGAGTGTGACATAGATAAAGAACCTAGGAGAGTCAACACCTGGAGGATTTTAGTCTTACACATGTGTGTGATTTTAAATGAATACTCTAAGATCACAGGAAACTCTTCATCCCCTTGTTTACCAGTAATATCAGTATATCACTGACCTTTCCAAATGTTTGTATATGTAATCCGATGTACATTTATATTAAAACAATGAGATGGACTTAAAGAGCACATCCTGATAAATACTTTCTCTCTTACCTGTACTATATTTCTATTAGACTAAAGTTATGTGATTTTTTTTTACATTTTTTCAGATGACTAGCAATTTTGATAGTTTGTAAGATAATGCAAAGAACTTTCTCTGACAAACTAACTGCAGTAACAGAAACCTTTCTTTTCAGTTACTCTTTTTCAAGAATGAAAGCTTATTATACAAAAGAAAAAAATTGTATACTACTTGATGGAAACAACTTTGTACATCTTGGCCATGTCACTGGTCATTGCGTGAAATAAAGATAATCTGGATAATGACTATTAGTCAAATGCTAAGAGACATGATCTTTGCTCATTAAAGAGCTAAAATGTTTATTGCTGTTTTGTCTTTTTTTACAAAACAAAAACAAGAGAAACATGACTGTCTCAAAGGGTCATTTTTCTAGACCAGTCGGGTTTTTGAAGACACATAGGTAACTTCTACAGAAAAACATGACCATGTGTTTAAAGTCAATTCTTGTCGAAGATTGAAACTTTAACATTATGGATTTATAAGCTCCAGAAACTCTTGAAAAATATTAGCTTTGTATTTTTAAATACCCCTTTTGTGAAGGTGTTTTAGAAATAAAGTGCCAATTGTTTTCCGTTAGAAACACAGGTTACAATTCTGATCATCAGGGAGAAGGTCTTTTGGAAAGAAATGTGCAAAAATTCATGAAATATATGACTCTAACTCAGTCGGTAGAGTGCTTTGCCTTGCATGCACAAGGCCCTGGGTTCAATCCCCAGCACCAAAAAAAAAAAAAAAAAGAAAGAATATTTAAGTTGATAATATAAGGGTAATTAAGTTGTCATAAAGTAGCAGATAGAAAGTTACCCTTGTAAGAGAACTTACAATTGCTGTGCAAGACATTAAATTATACTAAAAGATAAAAGTTTATTTCAAGGGATTTCTTTGATTACAATTTCTCCTCCCAATTATGAACCTTCAGTAAAATGCAGATATGGCTCCATAATTTCAAATAAAAATCTCTGTTAGAAGCCAAAAAATCCAGAGTCTTCAAAATCCAGAGTGGTCTACATTCAGTCTTTGCCTGATGTGGTTATGCTTTTAGACTGTGAACTGCCAATGTAAACCAATAAAAGGAATTGCTTAGCATCTGAAATATTGTTTAATCAGAAGACTGTGTTTTACTATATTGAGTAAACAAAAGATAAAAACAGAACTAGAAATGACAGCAGAGTAAGACAATATATGAATACCTTCATAGGCATTACTTCCACCTGGCAAAACCAAACATTCTATTATGTTTTACTGATGGCCAAATTTCTCCCTATTGTACCCTTATCTGTAAACCTGCCTATCTGTAACATATCTGACATCTACTTCATGTTAAAATTGGGGGAAAAAAGCATTACCCTGTTTATTTCTCTAAAATTTAAGTAGCATCAACTTTGCAGAAGGCAGAGCAGCCAGGTTTTATTGCTCTTCTCAAGTCAATTGGTAAAGTCATTGTGAATGAGTGTTAGTTGTTAGTTTTATAATCACAGCCTCTAGTTTTCTGGATGAGAAACCATATCCCACATTAAGCAGAACATTAAGAACTGTTTTCAAAGCTGCAACATAAATTTTTAAATGCAAGAACTAATTTGAATACTCTTAATAAATTTTAATCAATATGCTTAAAATGTATTTATTTAGATAATAGCCTCCTTTATGGAAAAAAGTAAGTACTAAAAATAAAAGAATATTTTGGCATTATTTATTAATTCAGATTTTCTTGATTCATATTAAATTGTAACCTAAGCAAGGCTGCTTAGACTTTGTATAAACATTAAGCCAAAATGAACTTTATTTTATTGTTTTGTTTTTCTATAATTTTTTTGCCAAACGTTTATTAGAATAAGGTTGTTTTAGAGTATGAGGGTAAAAATGTTAAAATGACAGATTTCATAGTTTTCAATTTTTATTAAATGTGTTGACTATGAACAAAATCTGATTTACTACTACAGGTATTTAATAAATTTCATCATTAATTTTATGCAAATTGGAGAATAATTTGCTAAAATGTTACAAATACCCAATTTGGAGACATCTTTTCAACTCAAATGAAGTGAGTGTGGATAATTTCATTTCTCAATAGAATTTAAAAGTTGACCAAAAAATTCTTTATTTCAGACTTCTTGATCTGTATAACCTGAAAAGAGCAACATTTATATATATATATATATATATATATATATATATATATATATATATATATATATATATACATATATATATCAACCATGTTTACTAAGCAGGAAAACAAGATGGCAATAATTTTCTTACAGAAATGAAATGCCAAATTTTAATGGCTGTATGTAAAAAATGTTAGATGATGACAGTTATTTCACCTGTTGGTATATTCATATTCAAATGCATATTATTGTCAAGAAAGGATAGAAGAAATGTAGTAAATATGTTCCAGCTTTAAAGACACTACTACATAGAAATTACTGGGATTCTTTTCCTTGGCGAGTTTCACTGAAATACTTTCACAGGACAATATGAGTGGAGTTTTTAGGAAGTTGTGAAACATCATAGAAATCCTTTGATGTTAGTAATTTTATTTCTTTCTGTGGTGTTGATTCAAAGTACTGGCCTTTTCCTTCATTTCCAGTAATTAGTTGTTACAGACTATCACTTTTTAATGTGAGTGAAAATTAGATAATTTGGTTATACTTGTGAAAACATGCTCCCAAATAAATTCAATTCATGGGCACTTCCCTGCTGAGATTTTTGTTATCATTCATTTAATTATCTTGCCAAGCTTTACTGTTACAGCAATCGTTTTAGCTTTTTTGTCAAAAAAGTAACAGAATGTCTGCAACAGCCTTATACATTTCCTGCACTTGATATTGACAATATACCAATATACACTTCAGATTTCCATTGCAGTCTCCAAAGTTCCTTAGAAACTTCAGGTGACCGACTTTATTCTTTTCCATAAGCATTGCGATTTGGTTTTAATCTGCCACTTTGCTGTATTTATTGTATACAGGCCAGAAATTAATTCCCTAATTAATGTGATTAGGGTTATGGAGAATATAAACTGAAATAACCATGTGCAGAGCCTAAGTGCCTTTTCCTTTTGGAATTTTATTTATAAAACTTAACTTTTTTAATTTACAGATTTTGATTAATTTGATTTAAAAAAACAACTTAAATGAATAGGTTTACAATTGCTAATAAGAAAATATTATTTGGAAATTGTGCAATTAATTTGAGTTTTGTAGGATATCAAATGGGTACAAATGCCTCTTTGGAAAGAATGAAGTCATTATTTTTTTTTGAAACTTTTTTTTTTTGAAAGATTTTCCAAATCTTTAGGCATCTGATTTGATGGTACTTAAGAACAGAAACTTCAATCTCTAACAAACTTTTAAATATTTCCAAATATTGAATTTAATTTAGAAGTCTGAAGGTATTAGGAACAAACATAAATAAGATACATATATAATTTTTCTGGCCATCCATTATGTACTATATCATACATATATCTATATACTACATGGTTCATAGGATATTTATGATGGCCCTTTTAGATCCATATATTTACAAATAACATTGTATATCTTCCTAAATTTGTAATAATATGACAGGATTCAGTATTCCATGGAAAGCCAAGCCAAAGTACAAGCAGTGTTGTGTTGAAACAAATGATAACAAAGCTTTAAAGAGATTTGTAAGACACAATAACGAAAACTCAGCAGCTGAAGTTCAAATAAGGGGACCATTTTTGAATGCCATTTTCAGAGCTGATATCTATATTAGATGAAGTGTTTAAAAAGTTTTAGTGTTTTTGATTCATTCTTTCTCCGCATTCATATCAATTAGCAAATTAATGCGTCATATATCATGGTTTTTGTAAAAAAAAAAGGGCCATTGGGTTGTCATGGTTCAGTTTGTGTTTGGACATCCATGGCTTTCATTAAAATGCATTTATTATCATGAATAAATATTATCATATTTTCCAAGTTGTGTTGGCTATTTTTAAATTCAGAAATAATTTCTTCTGCTTGGCATGCCCTAAAACATTTGTAAGATCAATGTTCCCTTACAACTTCTTGATATCCCCCATATGTGTGACGATGGTTCTAATTTGATGGAAACAATTACAGGCTTATGTTCTGTTTATCTCTTGGTGGATTCAGGGAAAGGACATGGAGAATTGTGTTTGGAAATTTGGACAGAACTTGTCAGAAGAGAAGAGCAAAAAGGGAGAGCAGGAGGAAGGAAGGAGGCAATGGGGAGCCAAGAGAAACTTCCCAGTTTGAAGTCAGTTTTCCCTTGGAGTGGTTCAATAAATAGAGATGTGTTTATAAAAAGGAAAACAAAGGATTTAAATAAATCCCTTTAAAGCATAAATTTACTGTCCATAGAGAACAAGATTACTAACATGTAAGAAAATGCACTAAACTTAATCCTTGATCCAAGTCTCAGTCAAATTTTGTCCCTAGAAATAAAGAAAATGAAAACCTGGAGTAACGTATTTCTAATCTTGTACTATCCAATCAATTATGACCTTAGGAGAGAAAACCATTTTATATATGGCCACCTTTTATCTGTGTAACCCAGAAAACAAGTAGGACATCATGAAATTTTCCCATACATGGCTTAAACATCAACGCTTCCCAATTGCTAAAGAAAAGAAGTGACGCTGTTTTGCAGATCTCTGCTGCATATGGCCATCGGTACAAAATAAATTAAATGATTCAAAAACATATTCTGAGAGTTCACTTTCTATAATAGAGAGTTTTGATGTTTTGTAGAATTTGGTGTCATTAGATATGAATACATTTTTCACTGCATTTTTACATTTTCTTACAGTTTGCAGAATGTTATTTCTGAGTTCAAAAAAAGTCCCAAATATATTCTATAAATGTTATGTAACAGCAGAATTTTCCAGTGAAGTGCTATAATTTGAAGTACTTCCTACTACCACATTTCTAGCGAGTCGCTTTGAATATCTCTTTAAAACATTTCTATCTCCCCTGAAAATACTCAACTTCACTCCCAGAGCTGCCTTCCTGTGCACCATAGGGGATCCTCCCAACAGTTACTACAGCTTCTATTTCCATGAACTGTCTCATTACTATTTATATCTTCTTCTTTTTCAAATGTGTGGAATTTGTGAGGCAAGTCTTAAAAGGCGATCTAACTGGTGCCTTGGGAATGCTTCCTCTGTTTTTGGGCAGATTAGAAGCTACATGAATCAAGCAATGAGAGGAATTAATCACTCATTCCTTCGTCACTGGTGCTACCATGTGTCAGACAGTGTGGTGGATGTTGACGCATGGACCACCGCTATGGCTTACCCACTGATATATATAACTATGGGAATAATTTCAAAAACTTGAACTGATTCAGATCCTTTTCTGTGCTCTCCATTGTAGCAAATCATTGCATAATGTCCTATTTCATCTTATATGTCTCAAAATTACACATAAAAAATGATATTTGGGGGTTCAAAGCAGTGTTAGTTGAATTTTCTGATCAAGCCCATCTATCAGGACAGGTGGTAGTGATATATCCCAGCAATAAATATGGCCATATCTGAAGTTATGCTATACTACCACAAAATCAATCACAGAATATGAAATGTCCAGCTGAAAATTCATCTCACCCAGATCGTTAACTGGTTCCTTAAGCTCTGCCACAGTCCCAGTTTGTGGTTATGAACCACCACAGTTCTGGAATTCTGAAACATCTGGCTATATTTTAGATGTTTTGGAAATTCTTCTTAATGATGATCTATCTTTTTCTTTTGA